TTGAGACCAAAGTTGATTAGGTGCGCATGTGAAACATTTTTGTCAGAACAGTTTTAATTATATTTTACCTTTCAGGCCTTTTCAATAATAATTGCTTTAAATGGTTCGGGCGTAGCAACTGTATTTAACAAAACATGTCCATAGTTCCTGCCAGAAAGTGTCGGTGACACGCCTTTTTTTTTAAATTAGGTACCTAAACTTAAGAAAAACCAAAATAAAAAAACCAGACCTTAATATTATTGTTTTTTTGTAAGTTATTTTATTTTTTTATCTTCTTTTATATAACTTTGGAAGAAAAAATATTTAGTTCCGCCCAGAGGGGGCGGTGCCACGCCTATTTTCTAAAAAATATGTTCCTTAGCTTACTAACTGATTGATGGTCATCCAGCCTATAGTGCACTGCTCTGAACCCATATAAAGTTCAATTGGCCCAACAGCTAAAGCCAATTGATCATCCGAACCTTCTACAGTTCGCAAATTGGGCGGAAGGTCGTTTGTCCGAAGATGGCGAATTTTCAGGAAAAATCATCTTTTCGTACGATGCTCATTTCCACCTCGGCGGTTATGTTTATAAACAAAACTTCCGTATATGGGGTATATGCCGTATTTTCTGTAAAACCCGCACGTCGTTGTGGAGAAACCGATGCATCCACAACGAGTGACTGTTTGGTGCGGATTTTGGTCCGGCGGCATCATCGGCCCATTTTTATTCGAAAATGATGGAGAAGCCGCCGTTACCGTCAACGGCGAGAGCTACCGCGCTATGTTAACTGATTGGTTCTTTGGCGAAATTGAAGGGCAAGACCTGGACGATATTTGGTTTCAACAGGACGGGGTTACGTGCGTACAGCCCACGCTACGGTCGATGCTTTGCGCCCAATCTTGAATTGGCCTCCAAGAAGCTGCGGCTTAACACCGTTGGACTATTACCTTTGGGAAGCGCTCAAAGACGTTTGTTACACCAACAATCCAAGCACGATTGAACACTTGAAACATGAAATTAAAGATGCCATTGCTGCCATAAGGCCGGAAAAAATTGAAAATGTACTGAAAAATTGGACTGATCGAATGAGCTACTGCCAAGTGAGCGTGGTAGACATTTGACCGAAATAATTTTTCACAATGTCATGAAATAGGCTTTCAAATAAATGTTTGATCATTGAAATCTATTTCTATTTTTATAACCTTTTTAAATTCGAAATTTTTCGTGGGGCACCCTGTATTTAAAAAAATAAAAATATTCCCAAAAACAAAAAAATGAATCCAAATATTTAGCATTGCTTGCCCTTAGAGCCATGGCATGTTCGAGGTCAAGTTAAAAAAAAAAGAAAAATAAGACTCATGTACGTTTTGAATCGACAACGTTTAGGGTTCATAGTAAAAAATTAAAAATAAATCAGAAAAGGAAAGCGTAAAAACCAGTTAGATTTGATTTAAAAATCCAAGATGTTAAATAAAAATTTAAAAATATTTACAAAAAAAAAAAAAAGAGAGCAAATGAGCTGCCATTTACGTCTTTAATCGACACCGTTTAGAGTCCACCGCTTTTAAATAACAAACAAGAAAGGAAAGCTAACTTGGTTGGAGCCGAAGTTTATATACCCATGCAGTTAAAACCTGATATATATCGCAAACATCGGATATAGTTGGCCGATCCTTATGAGAATATGATAATATAACCCAATTTATTATAATACAAAATTTAAAACAAGTCCCAAACTTCTATCTTCAAACATACCAAAGTTGGTATTTCTACCAAAAACCATTTACGATCGTTCAGTTATATGTCAGCTATAAGAGATAGTCGGCCGATCGTTATGAAATTTGGTAGGTCGGATTATCTGACCAAAAATATAATCTGTATGAAGATCCAGATTGCTATCTTCAAAAACACGAAAGTTGGGTCATTTCCGATCGTTCAGTTATATGGCAGCTATAGGATATAGTCGGCCGATCCTTATAAAATTCGACATGTTGTATTATTTTGACAAAAATAGCTCTTACCTAAAATTTGAACTCTTTAACTTTAAAAACACCAAAGTAATACCATTTCCGATCAATCAGTTATATGGCAGCTATAAGATATAGTCGGCCGATCCCGGCCGTTCCGACTTATATACTGCGTGCAAGGGAAAGAAGGGTGTGTCTAAAGTTTCAAGGCGATAGCTTTAAAACTGAGAGACTAGTTTGCGTAGAAACAGAACGACGGACAGACGGACAGACGGACAGACGGACATGCTCATATCAACTCAGGAGGTGATCCTGATCATGAATTTAAGCGTGTTAGTAAATGCTGGCTATCTACATCCCCCTTAATAAGGTTATGCAGAAAGACTACACCGAGCATTGTCCTACGATTTGTTAAGCTAGGTAAGTTTATAAGTTCTTTTCAGATTTAATTTGTTTTTTTTTATACCCTTGCAGAGGGTATTATAATTTTGGTCAAAAGTGTGCAACGCAGTGAAGGAGACATCTCCGACCCTATAAAGTATATTTATTCTTGATCAGGATCACCTCCTGAGTTGATATGAGCATGTCCGTCTGTCCGTCGGTCCGGCTGTCTGTCTGTCTTTTTCTACGCGAACTAGTCTCTCAAATTTAAAGTTTGATCCTAAATGCGTAGAGCCTTTTTTTGTAGTGGACTGTATGTTTTATTGTTCTTGCGTGTTTCGCTGTCTTATTGGTACTTTAAGAAAAGTTGCAATGTTGCCATAGGTGCTGCTTATTTCTAGTGTGTACACATTGTTTTTATCTTAAGTCAAAAATATAAAGATGGCAAAACTTAATTACTAAGCGATAGTTTCCAAACATCCTGGCCCACCCTGAAACACTGTTTCTGAATGAGGTAATTTCCCAATTTTCGTTATTGGCCGGGTCAATTCACCTGTTGCCATCTTGAGCCTTACTGCTCGCACGACGTTATCCTTTCCTGGTTAGGTTTCGATCACCCTCGCCAGGTGCTATGATGTTGGACTCCTTGACGAGCACAACGCTGCCGATCTTGATGTTGGGGGTTTCGTTGGTCCACTTTGGTCGCTGCTGAAGACTAGTTAGGTACTCCTGGTGCCATTGTTTCCAGAAGCCTTGGTACATCGATTGGATACTCTGCCAGTATCCCAAACGGCCCACAGGAATGTGGCCAAGATCCGCCTCCGGGATCGTCGTAAATGGTCGCCCGATCAGGAAATGGGCTGGTGACAGATAGTTGCTATCTGTATCCGACGTGTAGCATAAGGGTCGTGAGTTGACCACCGCACTAATCTGCGCCAGCAAGGTGCGCATTTGCTCATGTGTTAGTGTGCTGCTGCCAATGACTCGTCGAAGATGCAGTTTAACACATCGAACTGCTGATTCCCACTTTCCTCCCCAATGTGGAGCACGAGGTGGGATGAAGGTCCATTGGATACCTTCGTCTGCTAGTGAGTTCGCTACGTGATCCTTGTATTGTGTTGAGTTCAGTAGCTGCTGCATTTCATTCACGGATCGCCTGGCTCCGATGAAATTTGTTCCGTTGTCGCTGTACATGCGTGTACATTTGCCTCGTATTGAGAAAAATCGTCTCAATGCCACCAGAAATGTTTCCGTGGATAAGTCGGTGGCGAGTTCTAGATGGATCGCCGATGTAACCATACATACAAATAGGCATATGTATCCCTTGCTGATACGCGGCTTGCGCACCTTAGCGTCCTTCAGAAGAATTGGCCCTGCATAGTCGCATCCAGTGTTTACGAATGGCAGTGCTTGCGTTATACGTACGCTGGGTAGATCTGCCATACGTTGATGCATTGTATGTCTTCTCTGTCGAAAGCACGCCAAACAGTTGTGTGTGATTTTGCGTATCAGGTTCCGTGCGCCGAAAATCCAATATCGTTGCCGGACGAGACTCCAGGATGCAGGTTGACTCGGTGCTCATGTTCTATTATTAGGAGGGTGATCCGATGAGCCTTTGGAAGCAAAATGGGATGTTTTGCCTCTGCCGACAACTGTGAGTGTTGGATTCGTCCTCCCACTCTGAGCAGATTGTCCTTGTCGATGAACGGTGAGAAATTTACCAATTTTGATTGGTTTCCTAGAGGCTTGTTAGCGAGTAGTAACTGGAAGTCCGGTTGAAAACCAGCATGAGCGTGTTGCAGCCATAGAATTCTGGCCGACTTGATCTCGTCAAAGGTGAGAGCAGTTGATGTTCGTTTTGAAGACGGGTGTTTCATGCGATGAATGAATCGCAAAACATAACCGAGCGTGTGTATAAGCTTCAGCCAAGATGAGTTGCGATTTAGAAACTTATCCAAAGGATTGTCCGTTGTGACAATTACCTGCGCAGCAAGGCAGTTAGCTTTGATCTCACTTTGTATGCGTTTTTCTGAAAGTGAAGAACAGTTGTGTGAATTGTTCAACTTTACCAAAAATTGATCCTGGTCCCTCAGCCATGACGGACCCTTCCACCACAATTGGAAGTCAATGAGCTCGGATGCCATGCATGCTTAGGTATGGTTTCCAAGATCTCGGCGGTGCGGTTCCCAACAAACGTCTTTAGTTGGGCTGGTGAGTACGCTAGCCATGATAGGACTATTGTGGAGTCGCTCCACCCATAGATAGTCAAATCCTTGTGTTTTAATCCACCCATGATGGATTGCAAAAGTTGGCTTAGAAGAAGTGCACCGCACAATTCCAGGCGTGGCAGAGATTGTTGGTTTAAAGGTGCCACCCTTGTCCTTGCTGCAAGTATGGCTACCGAAATGGTTCCATCGTCCATAACCATGCGGCTGTACGCATGTACGCTGTAACCATGCGGCTACGGCTGAGTATGCTTTCGTGGATGCGTCTGAAAATCCGTGCAATTCCATCTTGTCGGTGTCGCTCTCGACCAAGCGTGGTATCTGGAGCTGTGGTAGGTTTTCTAAATCTGCTCGCCATTTCAGCCACTTGTCGGTTAACTTTTTCGGAAGTTCGTCGTCGCAATTCAAATTCAACAGCCACAGTTTTTGAAATAGTATTTTGAATTAAACTACGGTTGGTGCTAATAGACCGAGAGGGTCGAATATGCGTGACACATCTGACAACACTTGCCTCTTGGTGCAGCTTGGATTTTTAGCTAGATTCACATTGTACGACAATGTGTCCTTCTTAGGGTGCCAATGCAGCCCTAGAACCTTTATTGATGAGTGTGAGGAATCCGTGTTATCCTCCGATACAATGTATTTGGTATTCGATACCCATTTCCCGAGCTCTAGCTTAGCACAGGACATCAGTTGGACGAGTTCGTCCCGATTGCGTTGCAGCTCATCCTCACTATTGGATCCAGTGAGAACGTCTTCCACATAGAAGTCTTCCATCAAGATTTTTGCTGCAGTTGGAAACTCCTTCTGGTGGTCAGCAGCCAGTTGTTCCAGTACTCGAACTGCTAGGAATGGTGCGCATGATGTTCCATACGTCACCGTACAAAGTTGGAAGTGCTTGATGGGATCTGATGGATCCTCTCGCCATACGATTCTCTGAAAGTTTCTATGCTTTTCGCTCACCCAGATTTGACGGAACATTTTGACTATGTCCGCTGAAAGTACGTATTTGTGCATACGGAACCGCAGCCACACAGCAAACAGGCCTCGCTGAATACTGGGTCCTATCGAGAGTGTGTCGTTTAACGCCTTGCCTTTGGCGTCCCGGTTTGAGCCGTCGAAGACTACTCTGAGTTTTCGACCCAATACAGGATGATGAGGTAGATAGAAACTCCTTTCGTTGGGAATTTCGCCCGGTGAGATTTCTCGCATGTGTCCTAGACTCTGATATTCCCTCATGAAGTTTACGTAATCCTTACGTAGCTGATGATTTTGTGATAAACGGCGTTCAACCGATTTGAACCGCTGTAAGGCTCCTTGAAGGGTATCTGCAAATTCAGGATCTGAGGATGTAAAGGGAAGCTCCACAATGTTTTTGCCATTATCGTCCCGAGCGTGGGTGTTGAGAAAGTGCTCCTCGACCTCTTTGTCCTCAGGTTGAACTTCTGCCTTGCGATGAATGCGTTCCAGCTCCCAGAATCGTCTGAGAGTGGCATCAATGTCGACTGTTGTTGTGAGGGCCATAGTGTTGCTCGCCCGTGGTGCAAACAGTGATGTAATCACCCATCCAAAGATTGATGAAATAGCGATTAGCTTTCCTTTGTTGTCAAATATCTTTCTCCCAGTAATAGCACTCCAAACATGCTCGCTGCCCAAAAGAATATCGACTGGGCCACTTGTACTGAATTGTGAATCTGCTAGTTGTAGATCGTTAAAGACTTGTAGTGCAGACGCGTCGATTCTCTGCCTTTCCAATGATGAGGTGATCTTTCCAAGCACGTGAGCCTGGACTACCAGTTGATCCTCTGATATACGGGATTGGATGCGTAGGGTGCTGCATCCCCTTGTTGTGTCTGCTTTAATCGATGAAATTCCAGTGACCAATATGCGGGATGGCGTACGAGCCAAACCAAGGGCGTGTAGACAGCGTTCAGATACATATAACAGTTCTAAGCCTGTGTCCAAAAGGAGTCGGCATGCTACCAAATCCCCGTTTGCGTTTTGAATGTTGACCATAGCCGTGGGCAGGGTGCTTCTGTTCCATCCAGTTGATTGAGTTGAACTTGCAGTACCTTGTGCAAGTTAAATTGTTTGTAGTTCGGTGAATTAAAAAAATGGAAATTTTATTTTTTAATTTCACAACTTGGTGTTAAACCTTTATTTATTAAACGCAAAAATTACAAGACACTTTTGATTTTTCTTAAATATTTTTGTCAACCGTTCGCGGTCTCGGTCAAAATAGGACTGACTTCTTAATTCTAAATTTGATCCAAAGAACCTCGGCCATCAGTTGTGTTTAGATTAGAGGCTTAAGATGAAACTGTCGCATCTTATTGTGAAATTCGATTAAGCTGATCGATGCAATTTGGTGGGTACTTGAAACGCAAAAGGCGTAATTGATTGGGCTTCGGAGGGAAGCTGATGTTTACTTTTGATTTTGATTTGTTTTTGGGGAGCCGAGATCGGACCTCAGAGCCAAAGACAAAGCCGAAGGCAAATGCAGAGTTTGAAAATATTGTTTATAAAATTCATAAGTGGAAAGCCATAAGTGGCCTGGATTTATGGGTTGGATAATTGAGCCAAAGATCAAGCCAAAGGCAAATGCAGAGATTGAAAATATTGTTTATAAAAGCCATAAGTGGCCTGTATTTAGGGGTTGGATAACTCTCCCCCTTCTAAAATGGATCGTCCCGATTCAATATGAAATTCGTTTAAATGATCTCTTAATTCTGTTAAAAAAATTTCTTGGTTAATAGATTTTTCTGGTTCAGGCCGACGTTTTTTGGGTACAAAAAATATAGCATTTTTGTATTTTATAATAAGTGAAAGAATCAAATATATAATGATTAAAATTAATAATATAAAGGTAAGTGATATTTTAGTATTCTTAATTTTAACGAATGGGCTTAAAATGTTTTTATTATCTAAAGAAAGATCAGAGTTATTTGATAATATGTAATCGGATATTTCATAATTTTTAAAGTGGTTCGTAGTTACGTATTCAAGAATTTTATTTTGCAAATTGGTATATGAGATATTATTAATTTTAGTTGTACCATTAAATGTTATTAAAAACGAACCGTTTAAATGGGAGTTGTTAACAATATTGTTCCCATTTATAAGAATGGCACCATCTTGTATGATGTCTATTTTTTTATTTTTTTCTCTTATTTTTTTAGTTTTTTGGTTACTTAGAGTGCAATAATTATTAAAAAGTTCGTTCTTAAAATTAGAAATTTCGTAAAAAATATTTTCGCATTTTGCGACTTGATCGCTTAATACTAATTTTCCATCGATTTGGGAAATCGCTCTAGCGTGATATATTTCACATCTGTTTTTTATTATTGGGTATTTTATATAAATTATTAAAAGTTCTTTATGCAATGCGATTTTAAAAGAAGAGATGTCCATTAAATCAGCTATAATTACTGGTTTTTGTTCATGTTTTAATATTTCCAAGATGTCATCATTGTTTAAAATTTTGGTATTAAAAACGTCTATTTTTGCTAGAGTGATTGTGTCAATTAAATTTTGCAGATCAAATGTTAATAATCGCAAGCGATGTTTTCGAAGTGGTAGATCTTGATCAATAAATACTTTTTAAAATCATCGGAAAGAGATTCTATTTCTTTGAATAATCGGGAATTTATAATAGACTGCTTATTATTGTTTTCAATTAATTCATTAATTTTATTCTGAACTGTAATAAAATCATCATGGTCCGGAGTTCCAGCTAACCATTTCCACACGGTGCCTAACTCATTTATCCCTCTTTTTGATCTAGTTGATACTAATTGCGATAAAATTAGTTCGATTACTTTTATGTCATATTTAATTTCCCATTGTGACCTTTTATTAGTATCCCTTTTAATATTATCTGATTCCAAATTTATTATTTCTTTATAAAAGCTTAAGTTAGTTACATGGAATAAATCTGCGTATGAATCGTACGTCAATACGTCTTTATTGTCCTTAAATAGAAGATATTCGTGACTTGTATAGTCAATTATTTCTGATTTTGTTAATAAAACAAGAAAGGAAAGCTAACTTCGGGCGGAGCCGAAGTTTATATACCCTTGCAGTTAAAACCGGATATATATCGCAAACATCGGATATAGTTGGCCGATCCTTATGGGAATAGGAATATATAATCCAATTTATTACAATACAAAATCTAAAAAAAGTCCCAAACTTCTATCTTCAAAAATACGAAAGTTGATATTTCTACCAAATACCATTTCCGATCGTTCAGTTATATGGCAGCTATGGGATATAGTCGGCCGATCCTAATGAAATTTGGTAGGTTGGATCAACTGACCAAGAATTAAATCTGTACTAAGTTCCAGCTTTCTATCTTCAAAAACACGAAAGTTGGGTCATTTCCGATCGTTCAGTTATATGGCAGCTATAGGATATAGTCGGCCGATCCTTATGAAATTTGGCATGACGTAATGTTTTGCCAAAAATAGCTCACATGTCAAATTTGAACTCTCTAACTCTAAAAACACCAAAGTTATACCATTTCCGATCAATCAGTTATATGGCAGCTATAGGATATAGTCGGCCGATCCGGGCCGTTCCGACTTATATACTGCGTGCAAAGGAAAGAAGGGTGTGTGCAAAGTTTCAAGACGATAGCTTTAAAACTGAGAGACTAGTTCGCGTAGAAACAGACAGACGGACAGACAGACGGACAGACGGACAGACGGACAGACGGACAGACGGACAGACGGACATGCTCATATCAACTCAGGAGGTGATCCTGATCAAGAATATATATACTTTATAGGGTCGGAGATGTCTCCTTCACTGCGTTGCACACTTTTGACCAAAATTATAATACCCTCTGCAAGGGTATAATAAGGTGTAGTATGAGCACCTGATAAAACATTTTCTGGGAAAGGAAAGAAAAAAGGATAATATATAAATACTTAGAATTTTATATTATCTTTGTGAATAATTCTATTTCTATTGTTGATTATTATTTTGTTGGGTAAATTTTCCTTAACTATTTGTTTTTTATATCTGGTTTTAAGTTTATTTCTTTCCCCGTGTTTCTTTTCATAGACTACCTGTCCTACATGATATTCTTTTTCTTTTCTGTTTTCATTATGTGTTTCCAACATTTTCTCTTGAGTATTTTTCAAAAGTTCAGGAATGTTATCGTGCTCTATTTTATTATATAATACGTCAAAAGGTTTTTGGTTCGTTGTAGAATGAATGCTCTGATTATATTCTTGAGCGGCTCTTATTATTATTTCGGAAAAGTCAGTTAAATTAAATTCTTCTTTAATGCATCGAGCTAAATCTGTTAATGTAGAATGTGCCCTTTCAACCTGTCCGTTTGACGTGCTGTGCCTCGGGTCTGCGTAATGTAAAGTTAAATTGCACCTTTGTGCGAAAGATTTAAATTGGGCCGAGGTAAAGCTCGGTTCATTATCGGTCATTATTACTTTTGCTTGTGGAAAATGCTGAAGAAGTTCCATTACTTTATTTTCGATATTTAATTTATTTTGGATTTCTTTTACTACTAGAAATTTTGAGTAAGCGTCAATACAAGTTATGAAAGTAAGACCTTGCGCGTAATATATATCAATGTGTAAATTTTCTCCTTCCTTACTTGGAATTGGGGCTTCCCCAATTGGAATTTTTATTGGGTGCCTGTTATATTTATTTTCGTTACAAATCACGCAATTTTTAATATACTCTTTTAATTTTTTAAAACAGTTTGGCCAATAATATAATTTACTGATCTGTTTGTAGTTCTCTTCTAGCCCCCTATGAGCACGGCTGTGCGTTTCTTCTATTATTATAGCTTTATCTTCCTCGTTTTCCACGTCTTGTAGAAAGATTCTTGTAAAAAGGAATGTGTTTGTGAAATTATTTTTTAAAGGTAATTGAATTTTAAATAAGTCCTCTAAGGTACAATGAATTCCTACCGTAATGTTAGGTGGAAGATACTCTCTTAATATAGTTATTAAATTTTCTGGTGTGTCATATTCACTTAAATGTCGTGTCCTGTCAAAAATTTTCAGTGACTCATGTATTGTATACCTCCCCGTTGTTAATAACAGTTGTTGTTTAAATTGATTTAACGGTTTACGGGTCTCTTGTATTACATTTTCAAAACTACTTTCAGCTGAATGCTGTGTGTTCTGATCTGAGTCTGACTGGTCTGTTTGTTCTATATCGCTGTCTGTAATATTATTTATCTGAATTCGAGATAATGCGTCTGCAACTACATTTGTTGTACCGGGCTTAAATGTTATTTTCGGTGTAAAACTTTGAATGAAAGAATACCATCCTTTCATATCTACATTGGGATTTTTATCCGAAATTGTGTAAGATAAAGTTTGATGGTCGGTTTGAATTTCTATTCCAATTACTCCGTATAAGTAATTTCTTAGATTTTTAAGAGCCCATACTATCGCTAAAAGTTCCTTCTTATTAGTCGCATAAGCTTGTTCTGTTTTAGACAAGGTTTTTAAAATAAAAGTAATTGGTTTTCCTTCTTGAGATAAAACTGCACCAATTGCGACGTCTGAAGCGTCGGTGGTCAAGGTAAATTTTTTATTATAGTCCGGTTGAACTAGTTCTACCTGAGCAATGAGATTTTCTTTTAGCTCGTTAAAAGCTTTAATTGCTGGTTCATCCAGCTGAATCAATATTTTTGTTGACATTCTTTTCGAGATTTTGCCATTATGACCTCCAAGATATTTTGTTAGAAGTTTGGCTATGTAGGCGTAGTTTGAAACAAATTTTCTATAATAGCCCGTAAAACCTAGGAAACTTCTTAGTTCCCGAATATTTTCTGGAAGCGGATATTTTCTAATGGTTTCAATTTTCTCTGGGTCTGTCTTGATGACGTTATAGGATACCATGTATCCTAGAAAACGGGTTTCGAGTTTGAAAAACTTAGATTTTTCTAAAGAGATTTTCATGTTTGCCCTCAATAATATATTTATAATTTTGTTTAGATCTGTATAGTGTTGTTCAATTGAGTTTGAGAATATTAT